TGATTAAATTTTTCTTTCATTCAGGATTAAAGGCAGACTCACCTGGTATTTTTGACTTGTCATTCCAAAGGTCTCTAATAGCTTAGAAATACATAATGAGCAATTTCCGAAAGTAATTAGAAAGTGAGGTTTGCAAACTTAGTGTCCTTTAAAAGTCTCCACCATGGTTACAAGATTCCCAGCTCTCACTTCCATATAACAAAGTGAGCATAAGCATGTTTTTACATAGAAAACACAACTATTCTCATTTCTTTTGACAACATTCATTCCTTACAATGAATCACAGACTATCATTACCTTTCTACTAGTATTTCCTTGTCTTAAATTTTTTCCGCTCATTTTATTATCTTTAATAAATGTTTAGCAAGGCACACAACTTCATCTACTTGCTCTGGTTTTTTACCATTTATGGATAACTTGCAATCATACTCTCATTTCCCCTGTCAAACATCTGTCTTGGTCTTTGATACATCAATTTTCAGATCTGTATCCCTTGTTGTATCATACAGTCTAACATATCACTATCATTCCTATACTCTTTCCAGCACATCCTCTCTTCAGTTTCATCTCAAATCATCACTTTTGTTTTTAATTCCATTCCCTCTGCTGAAGGATCCTTGTTTAGCTATCTTCGCCCACTGAGAAAACAGTTCTTTTTATTTCTATCAAAAATGTTCTGCATTTTCTCTGCCTCTTTTCATCTTCACTATTCCTTTGCTCTCTTTGACTACTTTAAGGTCACCTTTCAATTTAGGGTCTGGTTATACACCTCAACCTCAGGCTGTGCAGGTGAAATTGTCAATCTGCTGACCCAGTGTCTGGAAACTGTTTCGGTTTGGATGGGGAGGAGCAGATTCAAGCTCAACCCTGAGGAGACTGAGTGGCCTCCTGGGCCTGGGATGGTTTCTCCTTTGTTCTTGGATGGGGGCCACGCTTTCCTGTTTGAGACCAGTGTGCAGGTTGGAAGTCCTCCTGAACTTGCAGCTACTGCTCAAAGAGCAAGTGATGGCTATGGCCAGGAGGGCCTTTGCACAGGTCTACCTTGTGTGCCAGTTGCATCCTTTCCTTGACTGGGAAGTCTTTCAGACAGTGCCTTATGCCCTAGTTACCTCATAACTGGACTATTGCAAAGTGTTCTACTTGGGGCTGCCATTGAAATTCATCCAGAAGCTACCACTGGTCCAAAATACAGCTGTGTGGGCAGTAAAGGGTGTCTTCACTGTGCCCTTGTGTCATTCCTGCTTCACAAAACTGCATTGGTTACCAGTTAGCTTCCAGGTACAATTCAAGGTGATGGCCATCATCTGTAAAGTCCTTCATACCATAGAGCCTGGTTATTTGAGGGAGTACCTGTGTCCCATAGTTTCTGCCCATCAGTATGATCAAGCAAAATGGGTATTCTCCAGGTCCCTTCAATTAAAAGTTGCCATCTTGTGGGGCCAAGAAAGAGTGCCTTGTCTATTACAGTGCCCTCTTTCTGGAACAACATCCACCTGGAGATATGTATGACTCCTACCCTTCAAATATGAAGACCCCTGAAGATTTTTTGGTTGGTATTGTGTGGTTTTGTTTGGGCATTTCTCTTTCTCTTTTTACACTATGCATTCTTTTATGGTCAAAAGCTATCCAGAGTCTTTTTGAAGTTGAGTGGCCTCAAAATTTAATAGCAAATAAAATTCTTTGGAGCTATCATTTTCTTTCTATGTACATTATACAACATATTTCTCTAATGCTAATTTATTGCAGCAATTATTCTCTTATGCATGTTTTCCCCCTCATCCATGGCTTTTTTCTCTTCATCATTTCACCAAGCTTTATTTTTTTCAATCTGACAGAATGATGGAAAGAAATTATGGTCAGGAGTTTGAGATTCTGTCCATCTTCCCATTAGCCAGCTAACTCTCTGAAAATAAAACTGAACAGGACTAAAGTTGATATGGCTGGAGAAGCTACCAAAAGACTATTGAGTTCAAAATTGGCCAGATTGATTTGCGTTGTGCATTCCTAAACCTAAGCCTTCACTTTTCTATACTGTGTCATCAACTCAAGATCACACCACCTTCTTTCTATTAGTTTCTTGGACATACAACATGCTTAATTTTCTTTCATTTATTTAATTTGTTAAATCATTCTCTTTACCACTTATTCCTCTCACATTTCAGTTAGCAATTTTTCACATGCTGTGGTTGTCATCAGAGAGGATCAACGGTATTAACAACTTTCACATAACACTTTCTAATAAGTTAGATAAGAGTTTAATGAGATAGATAAGAATTACAGACTTAGTTCCACTCATGCCACATTCCCTGCTAACAGTAAGGACAATAATGGTCAGTTTAGGCACATCTAGGCCAGTGTGCCACAAGCATGAGTATCGTCCTATTTTACCCCAAGCATGCTCACTCTATTCTATGCAAGTTAGAATGTCTAATCTAGAGACTATCTTGCAAGCCAGCATACTAACTAGGATGAGTATAGAAACACACTCAGAAACCTAGGGTCTACATAGACACTAAAAATCTTCTTGGCCAAGTCATCCCATTGTAGCCCTCCATATATTATAGAATTAAAAAATACATCTGAAATACTTCTTGAGCGAAGCACTACTCTGAGATGAACTGGACTATGATTTGAGGGATCTTCCTAAACTCATGGCTACTGGTGGATGCATTTATTTATTTTTTATCCCACTTTTCACTTAGGAGCTGATGGTGGAATAGATATTAAAATGGTAGTAACAATAGAAATCCAAATAGTAGGAGTAGGAGAAATAATAATAGTAGTATTGATTGCATAGTGTTTGTTGTGTGATTCTTGGGGGCGGGGCAGATGTTTTAGGGACATGCTGCAAAAGACTAGCACAGATACCTCTGGAACCACTTGTAATAAACTCTCCCTTTGTAGTGAGATGCAAGTTTGAATTATGAAAGTTCGTTTTGTGATTATGTCCGACATCTTCAAAGTGTAGTGTTTTAATACCAAATGCACAACTTTTTATAAAACGTAAGAAGTCAGTAAGCCTGTTTGTTTTGAATGTTAACCAATAATTTCTTTTCTCATTACATTTCCTCTTGAGTGCATACATACCTTTCACATCATCTTTTTTTTTAAACTTTGTTTAAATGAGAAGTGCATGTGCAAAATTTTGAAAATAAAAAGAGCATAAGAACAAAATAAAAACTAAAAATTCCACAAAAGCCAATATTGGGGTATGTATATATGGAATCTTAAGGAGATATACAAAATTGTATGCCCAAAAGTAGTTTTGTCCAAAAGTAGTTTTGCATAGAACAAGGGAATTATTAGGAATTATTCTGTTAATATAACATGATATAATATCTGCTCCTGGGTCTCCCATTTACTTCCCTATCCAGATTAAGACTATTTTCAAGCAGCCTCTTTGTTGAAAATTAGATATTTTTATTAGAGCCAGGAGGTCTGAAGGGGAGCTGATGAGCTGTAATGGAAGAGGAAAATGGGAAATTAATGAATTAAAATGGTTGATCAAAACCATGAAAAAAATCTTACTGAATTTCTAGAGAAGGACTCTCCTACTTTCATTTCCTATCTAAAATGTATTGCTATTAGGCTGTAATAGTATACTCCTTACCTGAGAGTCAGTTTCTTGAACTCAATGGGAATTCAATGAATATTATAAGATTGGACTGTTTGTGTATATTTTATATGACAAATACCAATGGATTTTGCTTTTTTATTTCAATAGGTCAATGCGCAGCTAGTTCGAGAAGTTGATATAGAAAAAGTATCCTCATTTGAGAATCCTTATGTAGATGCAATAAAGAGCTTATGGAATGATCCTGGAATTCAAGAATGTTATGACAGACGACGGGAATACCAGTTGTCAGATTCTACTAAATAGTAAGTATAAATGAGATGATGTTTTAGAGGATTTTTAGCAATGTAATTTTAAAAAGTATATAAATGTATACACATTGATGTTGGGTTTGCTATCTCAATTTTGAAAACTAGTGTAATTTCTTAACTGGTGCTTCAACATACTAAATTAATTATATATCAATTAGATATATATCTCAGATATAATGAGATGCTTTCTGAAATGCTTTGACTACTATAGTATTATCCTAAACCTTCTTGTCAAATGTTTGTCCTGATGATCATGCTGTTAATATAGTTGGCACACATAAACATGCCACCTTGGTCTTCCTGTTCTTTCCAAAACCCAGTTTTTGATCCTCTTTTATCTTTGTCTTATTTTTATCTTTCAGCTTATCTCATTGAAAAACAAATGAGTAAGATTTTCATTAATTTGCACAAGCTACAATAGCTGCCTAGTTTTCAAAATTGAGATAGCAAACCCAACATCAATGTGTATACATTTATATACTTCCTAGTTTTCAAAATTGAGATAGCAAACCCAACATCAATGTGTATACATTTATATACTTCAATAGCTGTAGCAACAGGGAATTATTTAATTATTAGAAAATGCTTTTGTTCCCATTCAAAAATAAGAAATATCTGGTTTTCAAATAATGCAGTTCTCATTGTGATTCTTGTATAATCCTATATGTATATGTATCTATATCCTGCCTTTTGTCCAAAGTTGTTAAAGCAACATGTATTGTTTTCTCCTCTTTTCCTCTTTTTCCTTACATCAAACCCAGTGAAAGCTAGACTAAGAGATGGTGACAGGCCTTCGATTATGCATTGAATATTGTGGCAAAAGGGACACCCTGTTCCTTGGATCACACTTGTTCTTATCTGTGTGTAAACTCTTAATACATTACTGTAGGATAGGAAGAGAAATAATATTTTATTTTTCAGAATCTCTGGAATCAAAGTATATAGGGTTACTTCCTTCGGAGATATTTGTCAGGCATCCTATTAATACCAGTAATACGGTATATTTCCCAGTTCCTCTTCATATGACCAAGAAGTAGAATTGGCAGTCAGAACTAATGGAATCTGGCTGATAAGGTAAATGAGTGCGTATGAACATGAACATTTTGAACCCAGACCAAAATGTCTGGATATAAATGTTCAGAAGTTTTATTTGGCAAGATTTGCAAAATATATTTATTTGTCTGTTATACTTTCTAGCCTTCAAAAGCTCAGCTAAATTAGTAAATCAGCCCTGAAAATAAATACATGCTTAATTATTTTGGTCTTGCTCCTCATACTTATATCTTAAAGTCTCATGTAATGTTTCTTATATATCTACAGAGTGGAGGATGCAAATAATATACTGTCTTAGAGCAAGGAATTTTTCCTTTGCAGTGAATTCCAATTAGTGGAATTCAATCCTGTTCCACCTATGTTAGATATGTGTGTTAGTGTATCCAGGAAACAAGAAAGGAGCATTAATTAGAGTGGCTTTTGATATGGTAAAACCTCAGTAATGCATACATTGGCAGATTCAGATTTCAGTAGGTGTTTGCATGTTGTAGCCAGCCAAATCTCACAGGGTATGCTGTTCCAAAAGGCAGGCACCACAACAGAGAAAGACACTTTCTGGGTCCAGTTAGGTGACATTTTTCATGGGGAGAACCCAAAATATACCCATCCTGTTGGATCTTATGGGAGAAGCAGCAGCAGTTGGAGAGAAGTGGTCCAATAAATAAATCAGCCCTGTGCCATGAAGGGTTTTATAGGTAACTAGCATCTTGAATAGCACCCAAAAAGCCTATAGGAAGCAGATGTAGCTTGCCCTGAAAACCAAATATGGGTATATGGCAAAATGGGACAAGGGGTACAGGTTTCTAAACCTCTTTCTTTATGCTACCAAAATAGGAAACTTCAACCAAACATCATGACTTTCAGTTCTGAGACACAAAAAAATTGTTGACTTCTGTAATTCAGAAATGACCTCTTTCTGTTTGCATAATTTATAATTACAGTAATGCATTGCAATGTTTTTTTCCAGGAAATTCTCATTAGTGAGATGATTTTAGACACCTTTGAAAGATGTGTAGCACACAAATGCATGGCCTTTGTCACTCCTGCTCCCACTGTTTTCCATATTTGGATGGGAAATATTGTAGATCTATTATCATAAAAAATCTTAAACATTTAAGCCAATCATTAATGGTTGGTGGCATACAATTATTGAAAAAACATTGCGCATCTTAATATATTTCTATTATAGGCCATATTTTAAAAGTTAATTATAGCTGTAATTTGTTCAGTAAAATCTGAAGTGGCTGCTACAGTAATTTTATTGGGTTGCCATAGAGATAGGCCTGAGGTGCTATAGCAAGGTAATCTGTGTGGTCATAATGCAGTCATGGTTCTCTGAGGCAGCTACAGAATTCTAATACAACTAAAAATGTTAGAGTTGTGCTTTTATATAATAGTACAGTGAAGCTCTTTGAACAGACTGGAAAGATTTATACATTTCAGGAGGGGATTTCATAGTTGTCTAAGTAAGAGTGAGGTTTTCTATTTTCCACATCTGTTCAGCATATATAGGTCAATTCCAGTTGTCCTAAGCTAATTCAGTTGACTAATAAGCAAGCAGAAGAGTATGTGATGACCTTTCCTGTCAACAATAATTGTATCGAGAACAAACAAGTTATCTGTGAAGTCTGTCAAGCTCTCTGAGCTTGGTTGTTTGATTGCAGATGTTTCATTACCCGGCTAGGCAATATCATCACTGCTAATGAATGTGGGGTTTGCTCCCTGTTTAAATACAGTAGCTTGCCCTGCCAGTGTTGGTGGGGGTGTGGTTTTCTCCTTGGTGGTTCCTTGATTAGGGTATTGTTTTCTGCTTGATTGTTTGTCTCCTTGGTAATTCCTTGATTAGTGTATTATTTTCTGCGTGATGGTTTGTCTGGTATTAATCCCTGCTTATCTGGGTGTAGGCTGCTGGAGAGGATGTGTTCTGATCTTTT